GGCCACGGCTCGTGCTGCCATGCCCACTTAACTTTCACGTAAGGGGATGTGACCACTTAGCCGTTACATGCTCGCTTACTCTCCATGCATATGTAAAACGTTGCCTTCGCATGACGAACGGGGAACGAACGGGGATCGTGTTTGTAAGTTACATTCGACCACGCGTTTCTCCGATCGACTCAGCTTCCTTCTGCATCAAGAAACCCGCGAAAGGTCGCAGGGACGCGATGACATCCGGTAAAAGCAATTTTCAGGGGTCGATAAGTCAATGCCTAAGTCAAGTCGCGGATAAAAACGTAGGTACAAGCATGTCGTGATCGAACTTACACCGAGCTCAATTATGTTATAATCACTTTTAAATCTTCAATCTTGTTTCGTACCGATAAAATGACTTAAGATTTGCGATAAACGAATTATCGAAGAGCAATGTATAGATAACGGAACAACCGGCCTCAGGCTTAGAACCAGTCATTTAAAACTAGTCCATAAACATTTAACGAAGAAAACATGGCGTAACCTTTGCAGCTACGATCCATATCTATGTCAACGCCATCGTATAAAATATGAGACATCATAAAGCTACGGAAGAGACGTCAATCTCCACGAGCAAATTGAATTACTTCAACGTAAAAGAAAGGCACGACAGTTTCATCACGGAGGGAGCAAAATCTGTAATTAAAGTCAAGAGAAAACAAAATAACATTTACTCTTTAATTTCATATATCGAAAACGCGAGGCTTCATCGCGTCGTAGCGAATATCGTTGAATCCAACCAAGCAAGAGTAAACGAAAAAAAGAGAGCCAGGTCTATAAGACACAAATAAGACACGAATCTACCCTGTGCACATAGAACAGAGGAGATACAGGTCTCATCTCTGCCCCATCGACAGATTAATCTGACACTTCGATTCCCCAAGAGGGAGGAACGCAAACACCATGCCGGGGATTCCGTAGAGACAATTCCCCCGGCGGAGAATTCGCCACGATTCGTATTATCAACAAGCCTCGGGTCCTCGAGTTACCGAGCCGATCGGTATCCGATCCTCGAACGCGACGCGCAAGATTTCTTCAATTTCACGGATCCGTTCGCCCCCTTCAATTACCACCACTTAACCAGCAATAATTAGACGTTGTGGGATTGGGTATCACGCTGACGCGGACCTTTAAAGCGAATAAAGTCGAGACGAGGGATAAAAGAAGGGAACGCCCTTCCGGCTTGTTCATCTTTTTCTCCGTCTCTCTGCTTTTTAGATGGATCGTTCTTTACCGCCCTTGGCTCCTTCCTCTCGATCGGCCGCGGCAAATCACGGGGAATCTCGTAAAATCGTGAAAGGCCTGTGCCTTTCCTCCGAGCTTCGGCGACGTGCGTAAGTGAAAAGAACGACCGACCGTAATAATCGTTGCCGCAGAAACCATTCTCTTCCTCTCGCGAGAGACGATTCGATGATTACTAGGGTTCAGATCTGTTTTTATGTTCGTTTATGCTTGTCTATTAGGTCCAATTCTCTATGCTTCTTGTCTAGACTATGAGGAAGATTGAGTGCAGTAAAACTCCGCTAATGTAAAGTTCATTTATTCCAACGAAATTCCAGTTAGCGCGTGATTAAACGAATTCCTAGATGAATCCACTTATTTAAAAGGAAAATAATAAGATTGGTATACTTTTATTCTATGAACTCTAATTGTATGTAAACTATTTGTCCACTGAAAGTTCATATAGGTGGAGTCTCTGTGATCTAAGTAATGTAGTCTAGAGAGAGAAAGAGATGACCAGCACTCGTAAATATATTAAAACGATAAAATATACTAAAACTATAAAATGCTTTTTTTCATAAGAGTATTCCTTCGACAGGAGAAAAAACTACACTCAGAAAATATTTGACGCGGATTACATGGGACGCGCATCGATCGTGAAATTCAATCCAATTCTAATAAATCTTCGATGGACTTTCGCATCGATAGGCGATCTTCCGTAATTCGTTTGCGAGTGTCCGCGAGCAATTTCATCTGGGCTGGGTGTAAAAATGGAATTCTGCCATAAAACCGTCCGATGTCCTATTTCTCTCACCTGTCTGTCCGGGACAAACAACCGGGAACCACTCGTAAAATCAGTGGGACATCGTTCCGAGGCCGTCGATACATATTAGATCGAGTGATCAAAAGAGACAGGAAATGGAGAAGGTAAAGCGGGTGAGACGGTGATGAAGTGGCGGCTACGCGCAGGGTCGTACACACTGGGAGCAATACTAGACGTCTTAACGGTAGCGGGCAGATATTTATTGCGCCCATGGGACGCCGTCGGTGGCACCGATATAACTAAATTCGCGTTTATGACCCTGGCTTGACCCACTCCAGCCGCCAATATCTCTCTTTTCTTCCGCAAACCAGCGAGAAAGAGAGAGAAAGAAACCGCGACGAAATGAGAGACACTGAATCATTCGTGGGACCATTAAATCGTGGATATCGCGACCATGGCACGGGGGATTCTTTCATCGGTCAGATCGATTCTCGGCAATTGATGTTGCTCCACGTAAGTAGAAATGTATCGAATTTTATATGAGAAGAAAATTATATGAGTTTCGCAGCAAGTAAATCGATCAACTACTTTTTATTAATTTCTTAATTTCATAAAAATATTTGAATTAACTCTGCTGTCCTCCTCGTTATTTTTTGCACGTTTGCATCTTTTTGGACTATTTCACACAAAAGGTACAAACATCGCATCGAACAATGAAACTAAATATTTAAAAATTATGTATCTATAATTTGCTAATATTCATTGAAATATAATGTCCATTTCCGGTTATGTAGAACCGAGGGCAGTGGAGTTAAAAAACAATTCTGTTACGAAGGACGGTCTCTGAGGACGCAAACCGATCAACTCTACTTTTTATTAATTTTTTAATGACATTGAAGTTTCTGATTAAAAAATAACCCCGTCAACCGGTTGAAGAATTTAGTATTGCGTTGAAATATGGTTAAATTGAAACGTTAGATATATAATACCCTGAGAATGTGAATATAATAGTAAAAAAATGTTGGAGTTATGTACGGTAAGCTACGAGAGGGTGAATAGGATAAAATTAATTTAGGAATTGAGGGCGTAAAAATGCCGAGGGGGTAGGCGAATTTTATTTTAAGGCTTCCCTTTTTGGCATCTGCGTATTCCGGCGGTTTTATAACAGTCACGCTACAAGGGTGACTTTATGACGAGTGAAAAAGTATCGCGCGGGGGTGGATAGGATTGTGACAGGGATCGCGCAACGCAATTATTTTTACGCCGCGCACTTCGCACCTGTACTCTTCGCGTCGTAAACACTTGGCGTTACGCTCGCGTTGACGACAAGCCCGGTATTCAACCGCGAAAACTTGAAAACAATAGAGCCATCCTGAGCTTTCCCTTTTTTTAGCGTCAAAAATTCAATATTGCATTTCGAGCTTCTTGATAAATATCTTTCTTCTGTATTTTCAGATCTTTACGAGATGTAATTTTGCAATACTACGATTGTCTTAAAAATGACTTAAACATATAGAAAGAATAAGAAACAAACATCTTTTATAGATAGAAACTTAACTGCGTAACTCCATCTTTTCACAAACTTGTTGATTTTAATGTCAGAGCGTGTATCGTACTGAACTTCTGAGAAATCAAACGATTTATCTAGACGAAGTTGATCGGTTTAACTGCAACGTTACAACAATGTGACTCTTACGTAACAACTATGACACGAAGATAAGTTTTACGAAAAGATTAAGTTACAGAGCCTCCTGAATTATCACCCCGATTCGGCTAATCCACTGACCTTGGTCTTTGATGCGTGGAAATCGTCGGCGATGTTCCTGAGGTTGGCGCCTACGGTCGCCCAGTAATTTCCGTTGAAGGCCTGTCCAATGTGGCCGCAGCAGCACTTGCAAATTGACTTTACAGCGGATGTCTTCTTCACGGCCGCGGAGCTACCACCCTCTGAAGCAAGTCTGCGTCTTCGCGGTCGTGGCCTTGGGTTTGGCACTGGTGCCACATCGTTCACATCATTGCTGGATTCCGGAAACTGGAATGTCGCGTCCCTGGTTGGGCTGCTGGGCGCAGATACGGTCACCTGGGGTGCAGCGGGCGGAAGTTGCTCCACGGCAGATAACACCAAATCCGGCAGCGGCATGCGAGCCAAATCCGAGTCCACCAGAACCATTGGATGCCGGTCGTCGCCCATTCGTCGTGGCAACCGATCTGAAGAACACAAGAAATTCGTTTAATTTCATTCCAGTTTTTTGGGTCCAAAATTTGTCAAGTATCGTTTTGAAAAGAATTTATTCGTGAGAAAAATTGTGTTGCTTTCTTCAAAGATTCGGTTAACTCTGATCTGGAGAGTACAGGAAATTCGTGTCACTTAATCGAAGGTTTGCTAGCTCACAAAATATTCAAGAGTTAAAGTGAATTCGCCAATAAAGAAGATCGTTTCTTCTGCCTAGAAATCTATATCAAGCCTGATTCAATAGAGAAGGAAAATTCAATTTCAACAGGGGAAATTTAAGTGAAAGTTTATTATAAGCTATTTTATTTTTCAGACGACCGAAGAAGATTTATCGGCGAAGAATGGATCGTTTCTTTTCTCAGGGTTGATATTAACCGCTTCATTCGAATCGATGCTAAATGTCTGTGAATATTACTATGACCTTTACAAATAACTACAGGATGACTTCGACTTTTTTGCTTCGTTGAAGATAAACGTACGATCGAGGATTAAACTTACTAAATCGTGCTTATCTCACGATCTACAAACGTATTTCTAAAATCCAACAATTCGAATGAAATGCCAAATTCAGCTAAATTTCGAGATATCGTGGCAACTGTCTAATCAACTTCGACCGCAATTTGTCAACTTTGCGAACCACATGCGCGCGTCGGGTTTCGTCGGCGTGTCCCATAAATCTCGCGCAAAATTCAGCCGGATAACCGAGCGCCGTACGAGATCGCCTTACGTGCGAGCGTAAAGTTCAAACTTTCCTCGATCATCCGATAAGTACAAGCTCGACGATTCATCATCGCCGTTTCGATCGCTCCGAGCGATCTTTCCGACTGCCTACTGAAAACAGATGGCCGCCGCGATATCGTAATCGACGAAATACGCGGTCCAGCCGATTTGTATTCAGCGTATCTGGATTTACCATCGATAATTAATCGTGGCACAAAGGCAAACGTTGCGTCATACAATGGAAATGCTACGATCTACGCACGCATGACGGCCGCGCGCCTTGCTTATAAGGTTTAATGCCACGTTCTGGCTAGACAACGGCAAAGGCGACCACCGGGTTGCCCTGTAATGGTAACTAACGACATTGTTGGCTAATGATTATCTGAAAATTTACAACGTTCCGTACGATAGCCTTCGTTCCGTGATTTCGACATATCTAACCTACACACATATAGATGTACACGATATATACATAGAAAGTGCAAGGATATTGTCAACACAGATTATACACTGTACGTGATGGAGCGTTTCTTTGAAAAAACGGCAGAATTCAAAGGAAGAGAAGAAGTGGAAAAACGAAATAATCGAGGCTGAGTATGGTATCTGGCGGTCAGGAAACGCTTGATATCGGACTGCCGCGCGGTGCGTCGGGGTACGCGCGTGTTTCGCCACTTTTATCGCCGCCAGTAAGCCCGAAGAAGCGTTTTCCGATTGATAAGTGGCCACGCGCGTTTTACGTCTCTCGCGTCGACGCCAGATAAACGCAGTGTAATTCCGGCTGAGAGAACCGGTAAACAGAAATGTACTTGGTCGGTCGCTTGACTCGCTTTTACGACGCCTCCGATAATTAAGAGCGGGACACCGAGGAGGGGTCAGGCCCCGTGGTAATTAGTTTTAACGAAGCCTTTTCGCTGGCTCGGCGGTTTCGTCGCGAGAGAGGGCCTAACGGTTTACTGTTTGCGCCAACTCCGAGACGCAGTAACGCGTTTTACGAACCGCGAAATGGTACTCGTAAACCGAGTGCAACTGGTTTTGGAATTTTCGGAGCGAGAACGTTATCTACCGCCACGGATGCCGAAGACGTAGTTAAATACCTTCGAGAAACAACGAGCTACTTCGCATCACGGAATCAGGTAAGACGCTTCGATCGCACCGTATCATGCGAACGCGTCAATAATCACGTTCGTATCAGTGACGTATTGTTACGTTCTGTCTGGCTCGTTTTGGTTGCGTTGCCGTTAATTTTTGAATTTAGATTAAATTGTGGTATTGTCTGTTATTTAATGCGATTGGAAATTAAACTCCACGTCTCGGCTAACCTGTCTCTGTCGGTTAAACGTGTCTCTGTTCGCGGATCGTCCTTTGATAGATTTTGGATTAGAGAAATCAGAATGTAAAACATGAAAGCAACGATTAAAAGATAATTCATAGAACACAACGTTAGCCCTTCTTCTTCGATCTTTCTCTCCCTAGAATAATCAAAAAACCTATAATATTTTCAGGAAACCAAAGCAAGAATTTTTTACGTATCTTCTTCGAGCTTCGAACACTATCGAATAATAGACAATACGACCGAACAGAAACACGATTCAAAGGTTATAACAGGGTTACAGTGTATCAAGAATCCGATGGCATTTCAAGCTAACAAAAGGAAAGACCAGCAACCAAAGGCTAGGTACGTAATCTCAACTTTCAACAGAGCAAAAATTTGCGAAAAAATCCATCTTTTCACGTCGATAACCGATACAATCATCCACCGACAAACTATGAAATCCATCTTTTCATAAACGAAGAACAGTTCGCACCTTTGGGCTGCCAGAAACATTTAAGCGCGCGGGTTTTTCGCGCGATGTGCGCCGCGTGCGCGTAAATCGAAGCCATGCGTGACAAAATAACAATTCCTCCGCGCCTCCGGCCGCCATTGTCTCAGGGACCGGTCGCAGTGGCGCGCGCGCGTGCGCCCTCGTGCGCTCGCGCGGTTGCATCCTTGACATTTCGAGTAAACGTCCGCGCTAGCATTCGCACGCGCGCCACTATACTCAGGCCACACTCTCCTGAGGCTCTGTTTCGCTTGTGCAACCCGTACGCGCGCGCATCGGCCACACATCGTCGCCTACTCGCATCGAACTGCTCGATCGCGAAATCTCTAGCAAACGACAGGCTTTTCACCGCTTGCAAAACAACCGCCGCGCTTATCCGAACGTATCGACGGTCTCGCTTCGCTTTCTACCTCGCGATTTTCCTCGTAAAATGTCACTACACACACATGCCGATATGTATATTGGATGGAACACGAACCTGGTGTGAACGCCAGCCTATTCCAAAACCGATTTATGTAACGATCTGTTGTAATTATCAATGCACGCGAACGATTATTAGCACGGATTCTGTCAGCTCGCGATTTACGACCGCCTTCAGCATGACAAACGGCCAGCCTAATTCTAATTTATGCCCCGGGGAAGTTCGACTATATTCGACCTTTTACAGCCGCGCAATTTTCGCGCGCTTTCCTGTGAGATTCAAGGCGACCCGCTTTTACTCGCGTTACGATTTCATTCGCTTTTCTTCTGGTTCCACGGTACATAATATAATAGCAAGATATTAAAAGTTTGTCGGTAACTTGAGTTCTCGATAAGCCAGTTCTTCGCGATGCGGTCGAAAGAACTCGTCTTCGTGAGCGGAGCAACTAAAGGGGGAACGAGAAGAGCACGGCTCGCGCGTCCCATAAAAGCGTTCGGGGCAAAAAGTGCAGCGCGCACGTGGCCAACACCCGCATGCACGCTGCGTTCGCGGTCTCGCGCGCGGACATTGGATCCGCGTGCATCAGAGAGGACGTGCACACGCGGTTCGAGGGCGGGGACGTCGGGTTGGAACCGACGAAAAAGACTCGAGAGGAGAATGGTCGTACACAGAGGGGACGTGAAACGAGTATATAAAGAACAAGAAGGTTGGGACAAGGAGGAGGAGGATCGTGAGCCAACGAAGAGGGGGGAGAGGCGTTTAGACAAAAAAACGGGGTTGACGAGACGAAGCAAGGAATGTACGGCTAGAAAAAAAAGAGAAGTTCCACGAAGAGATAGAGCGGTGGAGATAATACGCGGTGGAAAAAAAGGGAACTCGAGAAAGCAAAAACAGGAACAAGAAGGGAAAAAAGAAAAAAGTGGCGGAACGAGGGGGAAATTTCGAGTGTACACGGACCAGCGGGAACACGCGAGAGACAATGTACATTATGTACACGCGTTATGTCAAAGAGGCAGAAAGAGAGACGAAAAAAGGGCGAAGAGTGGGAGCAGATTGAACGCTGGCAGCATATGCGAGCACGTGACTCACATGGAGCGCCCTTTGTACGCGTAAGTGCAACGCAACTTGTTACAGTATACGTGTAACGTCAACCCTAGCAGCGCGAGCGCGATCTCCCGCACCTATGTGTGCGTAGGTGCGAGTGTACGTGTGCCTGACAGCATACGTGAGCAGTGGTGAACGCTCAACTGCACAAAGAACCCCTCTCAAGGCCGCTGCAGCCGCGATACACACCAATGAGACGCGTGCGCGCGCGACGACGACTCGCGCGTGGAAACACTCGCGAATCGCGAGCGGTGTCGAGCGTATACGCGCGCTCAGTTTTTATCGTGTCACGCTTTTGCGGCTTTTCAGAGACAATGAGACGGAACAGTCGAACTACGTCGTTCCAATGATCGGTTGCTCGTTTCGTCAGAACCTCCTGCTGAGGCTGTAATGGAAATTAATTTTTACGCGATTTGGTAGTCGGTCTTGGAGTTTCCATGGAGTCACTGTTAAGTACGTTCGGTAGATGCATACATATGGGGCGCAGGTGGAAATACGAGATCGGTCTATTTACGTCGATCTTCTGAGTTTAAACGTCACTCAGGGATTAAAAGGGTGAATTTTGAGGCCCTTTTGCTAGACTTTCACCGTACAAAAATATTTTCAAGAAATGACAGACAAGATTCTTCAATCGATTTCTGTAATTACTTCTGCAATACGTCTAAAGAACCAAATCATTCTCAATGCTTATACGTTACAATGTAATTATTTGATGTAGTTGCTCTGTTTTCAAAATGTAAATATAATATAGTTAAAGTCGTTAATACAAAATTAATTAACGGCATACATTGAATTTTAACGTCGTTTCCTCGTTAAAGGTAGGAAATATGAATTATATTTCTCCATATGATCTTCATTTATAAAGGAAGTCGATAAAGTTCCAAGATATACATATGTATACGCCAGGCAC